CTGTCTCTAGAGCGTATCCCCAAAATGATAGCGGTAAATCGGTAAGAGACATCATAGATCGCACCATATCCAATAGAGTGCGATTACGACGTTCGGACACACCGTTACGCTGAGGTGTTCCAGGCGGCGTGAGTTGTGAAACGATTCCACATTTCCTTAAGTGTGTACCAAATTCGTGACTTAAGTATTCTCCTCCACGATCTGATCGTAGGAACTTTATCTTTCGGTCACGTTGATTCTCTACCTTATTCTGAAATTCCTTGAACTTTTCAAAGGTCTCATACTTGTGTTTCATTAAGTAGACATACCCATATCTACTCAAGTCATCAGTGAGAGTGAGAACATAACGATATCCTCCGCGAGCCTCAACGCTCATTGGACCGCACACAACGGTATGTATGATTTCCAATAAGTTGGTTGCTCGCTCCATTGTTTCGGAGAACGGAGTCTTGGTCATTTTGCCCATGAGGCATGGTTCGCACGTGTCAAATGATTCGTAATCGAGAGACTCTAAAAGTCCATCAGCATGGAGCTTCTTCATGCGCTTGACACCAATGTGACCAAGGCGGCAGTGCCACAAGTATGTGGGACTATCGTTATCAACTTTACATCTTTTGGTATTCACGCTATGAATATGTGTTACATTACGCTCGAGATTCATTAAGAATAAACCATTGACCATCGGGGCATGACCATAAAACATATCTCTCATATAAATAGAACAACCATTATTCTCGGATTTAAATGAGTAGCCATCTCGTATTAAACGAGATCCAGATACAATGTTCATGCTCAAACTTGGCACTAAATAACAATTATTGAGGTTCATAACTAATCCCGTGGGTAAATGTAGAGGTAGCATACCGACAGCGATCACATCGACCTTGGAACCATTCCCGACGCGCATCGTCACCTCGTCCTTCGCCAGTCTCCGCTTATTCCGTAGCTCCTGCCGTGAGTTACAAATATGAGGAACGGCACCGGTATCAAATACCTAGGAGTTACTATGAGTACTGGTAAGGTACACATAAATTACATGTATATCAAATATACCTTTAGTGTTGCCGGCCTTCTTGTCCGCTAAGTATTTGGGGCAGTTTCGCTTCCAGTGACCCTTCCCCTTGCAATAAAAGCACTCAGTCTCAGGCTTGGGTCCATTCTTTGACTTCTTCCCGGCAGCTGGCTTACCGGGCGCGGCAACATCTTTGTCGTCCTTCTTGAAGTTCTTCTTACCCTTGCCCTTTTTAAACTTAGTGGTCTTATTGACCATCAACACTTGATGTTCTTTCTTGATTTCAACCTCTGCTGACTTCAGCATGGAAAATACTTCAGGAATGGTCTTCACCATCCCCTGCATATTATAGTTCAACACAAAGCTCTTGTAGCTCGGTGGGAGCGACTGAAGGATTCTGTCAATGACCGCCTCGTCCGGGAGGTTGATCTCCAGCTGGGACAGGCGGTTGTGCAACCCAGACATTTTGAGTATATGCTCACTGACAGAACTGTTTTCCTCCATCTTACAACTATAGAACTTGTCGAAGACTTCATATCTCTCGACCCGGGCATGAGCTTGGAAAAGCATTTTCAGCTCCTCGAACATCTCATATGCTCCGTGTTTCTCAAAACGCTTTTGGAGCCCCGGTTCTAAGCTGTAAAGCATGCCACACTAAACGAGGGAGTAATCATCAACACGTGACTGCCAAACGTTCATAACGTCTTGGTTCTCTGGGATGGGTGCTTCACCTAGCGGTTCATCTGGGACATATGCTTTCTTGGCTGCTATGAGGATGATCCTCAGGTTCCGGATCCAGTCCGAATAGTTGCTGCCATCATCTTTCAGCTTGGTTTTCTCTAGGAACGCGTTGAAGTTCATGTTGACATGAGCGTTGGCCATTTGATCTACAAGACATATTTTGCAAAAGTTTTTAGACTAAGTTCATGATAATTAAGTTCATCTAATCAAATTATTGAATGAACTCCCACTCAGATTGACATCCCTCTAGTCAACTAAGTGTTACACGATCCGAGTCGACTAGGCCGTGTCCGATCATCACGTGAGACGGACTAGTCATCATCGGTGAACATCTCCATGTTGATCGTATCTTCCATACGACTCATGTTCGACCTTTCAGTCTCTTGTGTTCCGAGGCCATGTCTGTACATGCTAGGCTCGTCAAGTTAACCCTAAGTGTTCTGCATGTGTAAATTTGTCTTACACCCGTTGTATGTGAACGTAAGGATCTATCACACCCGATCATCACGTGGTGCTTCGAAATGACGAACTTTAGCAACAGTGCACAGTTAGGGGGAACACTTTCTTGAAATTATTATAAGGGATCATCTTATTTACTACCGTCGTTCTAAGTAAACAAGATGCATAAAACATAATAAACATCACATGCAATTATATAGTAGTGACATGATATGGCCAATATCATATAGCTCTTTCGATCTCCATCTTCGGGGCTCCATGATCATCTTCGTCACCGGCATGACACCATGATCTCCATCATCATGATCTTCATCATCGTGTCTTCATGAAGTTGTCACGCCAACGACTACTTCTACTTCTATGGCTAACGCGTTTAGCAATAAAGTAAAGTAATTTACATGACGTTCTTCAATGACACGTAGGTCATACAAAAAATAAAGACAACTCCTATGGCTCCTGCCGGTTGTCATACTCATCGACATGCAAGTCGTGATGCCTATTACAAGAACATGATCTCATACATCACAATATATCATTCATCATTCATCACAACTTCTGGCCATATCACATCACATGACAATTGCTGCAAAAACAAGTTAGACGTCCTCTAATTGTTGTTGCATCTTTTACGTGGCTGCAATTGGGTTCTAGCAAGAACGTTTTCTTACCTACGAATAACCACAACGTGATTTTGTAAACTTCTATTTACCCTTCATAAGGACCCTTTTCATCGAATCCGCTCCAACTAAAGTAGGAGAGACAGACACCCGCTAGCCACCTTATGCAACAAGTGCATGTCAGTCGGTGAAACCTGTCTCACGTAAGCGTACGTGTAAGGTTGATCTGGGCCGCTTCATCCCACAATACTGCTGAAGCAAGAAAAGACTAGTAGTGGCAAGCAAGTTGACAAGATCTACGCCCACAACAAAATTGTGTTCTACTCGTGCAATAGAGAACTACGCATAGACCTAGCTCATGATGCCACTGTTGGGGAACGTTGCAGAAAATAAAAAAATTTCTACGGTTTCACCAAGATCCATCTATGAGTTCATCTAAGCAACAAGTCATGGGGAATGTTGCGGAAGCGTTCAAGAGAACGGTGATGATGGAGTCGTACTCGTCGTGATTCAAATCACCGATGACCAAGTGCCGAACGGACAGCACCTCCGCGCTCAACAAACGTACGGAGCGGATGACGTCTCCTCCTTCTTGATCCAGCAAGGGGGAAGGAGAGGTTGATGATGATCCAGCAGCACGACGGCGAGGTGGTGGATGCAGCAGAACTCCGGCAGGGCTTCGCTAAGCTGCTGCGGGAGGAGGACGAGGTGTAGCAGGGGGAGGGAGGCGCCAAGACACAGGGTGCGGCTGCCCTCCCCCTTGCCCTCCTTTATATAGGCCCCCAAGGGGGGGGGGGCGCCGGCCCTGGGAGATGCAATCTCCCAAGGGGGCGGCGGCCAGGGGGGTGGAGTGCCCCCCAAGGCAAGTGGTGTGCCCCCCTCCCACTTCAGCCCGCGGGGCCCTCCGGGATAGGTGGCCCCACCCGGTGGACCCCCGGGACCCTTCCGGTGGTCCCGGTACAATACCGGGTGACCCCGAAACTTTCCCGATGGCCGAAACAGCACTTCCTATATATAATTCTTTACCTCCGGACCATTCCGAAACTCCTCGTGACGTCCGGGATCTCATCCGGGACTCCGAACAACATTCGGTTTGCTGCATACTCATATTCATACAACCCTAGCGTGACCGAACCTTAAGTGTGTAGACCCTACGGGTTCGGGAGACATGTAGACATGACCGAGACGGCTCTCCGGTCAATAACGAACAGCGGGATCTGGATACCCATGTTGGCTCCCACATACTCCTCGATGATCTCATCGGATGAACCACGATGTCGAGGATTCAAGCAACCCCGTATACTATTCCCTTTGTCAGACGGTATGTTACTTGCCCGAGACTCGATCCGTGTGATGATGCACTTTGAGCTCATTATGATGATGCACTACCGAGTGGGCCCAGTGATACCTCTCCGTTATACGGAGTGACAAATCCCAGTCTCGATCCGTGTCAACCCAACAGACACTTTCGGAGATACCTGTAGTGCACCTTTATAGTCACCCAGTTACGTTGTGACGTTTGGTACACCCAAAGCACTCCTACGGTATCCGGGAGTTACACGATCTCATGGTCTAAGGAAGAGATACTTGACATTGGAAAAGCTCTAGCAAAACGAACTACACGATCTTGTGCTATGCTTAGGATTGGGTCTTGTCCATCACATCATTCTCCTAATGATGTGATCCCGTTATCAACGACATCTAATGTCCATAGTCAGGAAACCATGACTATCTGTTGATCAACGAGCTAGTCAACTAGAGGCTTACTAGGGACATATTACGGTCTATGTATTCACACGTGTATTACGATTTCCAGATAATACAATTATAGCATGAATAAAGACAATTATCATGAACAAGGAAATATAATAATAATCCTTTTATTATTGCCTCTAGGGCATATTTCCAACAACTAATGCATCGCTGTTTTTTCTTTTGATTTGGAAGGATCCATTACTTTGCATATATCCAGTAGATAAAGCATGCACTTATTCATGTTCAAATATACTCTGTTAGCAACACAGGAGAACATCACAAAATTCAAGCTTCACAACTCGGGATCTCACATCATTATCATATAACTAGTTTTTAGCAACCACTCGGATTTTACAACAATAGAGTCGAAGTTCAGTGTAGTAGGAACAATCTCTCAATAAAAAATGGCCTTGATTTCATAAATATTTGGCTGCAAAATCTGCAATGTTATTGTCAGAGCTCCCTCCTTCCTGCATAGCCTCTTTGGCCTTCTGCATCCACTTAGAAGCATTCCTCATATACTCCTTCCCACCCATCACTTCCTTGATGCACCTCTCCACCTCTTCTCGTCTCACCAAGCCTTTCTTGCCTCGACGTGCACGCAGGCCGATCCCCCATGCGCTCTCCATGTACTTTGCGGCGGTCGGTTGGTCCGCCCATTGCGGTATTGCGATCATGGGTACACCAGTGGCAATTGCTTCAGTTGTCGAGTTCCATCCACAATGTGTCAAGAAACAACCTGCATCATCACCACAATGGTTCGCATGCTTAGCTTTTATTCATTGTCAAATTCCACTAAGAATCATCAGCCTTATTGTTGTATGTGTAGAAATTTGGTTCGTTTCATACCTGTGGCCCTGTGAGCCAACACCTCCAGCTGAGGGCAAAAGGGAACAATTAGGCCTTTCATGTTGCATTTGTCATGGAGTTCCTGGGGCAACTTATCTGTCTCACTAGGCCTCAACACCCAAAGGAAAGGTTGTCCGGAGTTGCACAATCCATGGCCTAGCTCTTCTAGTTGTGTCGAGTCAAGGTTAGCAACCGTGCCGTAGGATGCGAGGAGCACAGAGCAAGGAGCCTGCTTGTTGAGCCATGCCACACACGGAGAAGTGCTCGAGACGAGGTTGAAACCATAGGTCTTGTTCGACGGCAGGCGATCATCGTCAAGGTAGAACGACGGCAATGTCGGGCCGACGGTCTTTGCGCCCCATTTCGATTCCATGTAATCTGCCTCCTGCTCAACCAGAAAACAGCAATCTGAATTCGTGTACAATGGTCTGTCTAGATTCTAGACAAAGCAATACATTTGGCATATGAAAATTAGGACAACTTTTGCTGTGCAAATCCGAATCTACTGATTCACATCCAAATACAGAAAAAAGTGGTTTGTTGTTGGCGGCTCAATGTTTAAATTTCAAAGCATAAGTCTATGTTCCTGCGGCATGATTTTTCAGCTGGTCAAAACAACAAACAGGTGGTGGTCGCTGGTGCTCACCATTGGCTCGAGGTCGCGGAAGGAGTTGACGAGCACGTGGTCGGCCTGGTCCAGCCCCTCGAACTGCGACAGCGCCGACTCGGTGAACGCCGGGTACCACGCCGGCGCGGCGACGAACGGCGGCACGTCGTCGGGCCCGAGCTCCACGGAGAGCCTCCCCCGCAGCGCGCTCCCGTCCGCGAGCGGCAGCGCGACCCGCCCCGCGGAGACCTCGCCGTAGACCACGTCCACCGCGCACATCTGCGTGAAGAACGCGGCCGCGGCCACGCCGGCCTCCCGTGCCACGCGCCGCGCCCACGGCAGGTGCGAGTCGTACACGAGCACCCTGACAGGTTCCTCGCCGTCGTCGGCGAGGAGGAGGCGCGCGAGCGTGTCGGACCCGGCGGCCTCCAGCGGTGTCGGCGCACGAGGCGATGCCGTCAGAGATGGCGGCCACGGGGAAGGGGCATTGGGTGGTGGCGCTGGTGGAGAGGACGTGGCGGGTGAGGACGAGGGTGGGGCGGAGGCCGTGGTGGGTGAGGCGGCGGCCGAGCTGCAGCATGGGGTTGGCGTGCCCCTGCATGCCCGGGAACGGCAGGAAGAGGACCCGGCCGCCGGCGCCTTGGACGGTGGCGTCTGTGCTGTCCATGGTGAGCTGCCGGCGCAGGTGCCGAGTGATCTCGGCAGTCGCTGGCCTTGGACTAAGGAATTTAATCAAGTATAGGAGTAAGTGATACGGTGGAGTGGCGCGCAAGTTCTTCTGCTTGGGAGTGGTTAGCTGACGGGAAAGAAATGTTATCTTTGGAGGAAGAGTTTAGATTCGCTTTGAATTGGTGCACGTGATGCTGCGCTGGATGCTTCCTCCATACCACTACATAGAGGCACACAAGGCTTGTCAGCATATTTTGATACGTACAAGAGCATCTACCGTCAGGATTGCCAAATATGGCCCTGTCCCTGGACCCTGTCCGCAGTCGTCTTTCTCATCATTTTCCACCCCTCAAATCCATACGAATTCATGCACACGCAGGAACAAAGAGCATACGTAGAACATAGAAGATTCATCTACATTTCATAGGACAACCAAAAGATAAACGTATGACAACCAAAAGGGTCTTAAGTTCATCACATAAATATATACACAGAATTGAAGGACATGACATGATAGGACAGGAGTCACCGGCGCGGTGCCTTGCCCTTCCCCTTGTCATCTCGGCAGCGGTGGCGGTACATGGCAAAAATGGCAGAGGGCTCGTTGTCTGGGGGGCATCGGAGTCGGAGGAGCTGTCGTCGGTGACGGAGGAGGAGGAGGAGGAGGACTAGGTGCAGGGCAGGCCGATGAGAGACGTTTGGCGGCGTGGTCCTACTCCGCAGTGAGGCCGCGGGCATTGTCCATGGCCACCTCTTGGGATCCGTAAGCGAACCGACATGCAAAACCCCAATAGATGTGCGATGGCTTTCCTCGCCATATTTGTCTCTTGGACGATCTCGAACGAGAGTTTTCCCCCCGCGTTTTTCGACACAAGAGTGTGCCATCACCGATTCTTCTTTAGATGGTTTTCAACGAGGCGAAACTTTGGATTACCGCGGGTGCTAAGAAAATAGGGATCATTACATCACGTGAGTAATCGTCATGCCGTTTATGTGGGTGCTTGTAAAACTCTTAATTTCCCTCCTTATTTAATATATGAGGCAATCGAGAAAAAACATTTACAGCAAAATAAGCGAACAACTATGTCCATCACGTTGATCATCTGCTTCTGGGCGCTGTCATCATGTATGGTGCACAGCTAATTAGGATGAAGGGTTTGCATCACAGCTGCTGGGTAACATCATGCATCTCTCCAACTCGAAGCTAGAGTCTGCGCAACTTAAGATGTGAATGTGTGGGTAGGCCAGAGGCCAACAGAGAGAGGAGAAGAGCGATCAGTGAAGAAAATGGACATGACATATAGGCCCGCGTGGTAAGTGAGAGAAACAATTGATCAGGATTAGTGAGTATATGTTGCCAATTTTAGGGATTAACAGTTTAAGATTCAATTCCAACGACCTCTACAAGTTCAAGGTTAAAAATAGACTTCACTCTGTCAGATTTGACATCCGACGAGTCGACTGATTTTCCTTCCCCAATCAGTGGCCAAACATTTCTCACTTGCACGCGCACGGGAAGGACTATACAAAAAAAAAAAGCTCTAGGCACCGGCTGACCGGCCAGATCACCCCGATTGGGGACCCTAGTCACCCTACGCACCGTAAGATGGAAAGAAAGCATAGCCATTGGTTCTCTTCGGCCGCGCCATCTTCCCGGAAACAGAAAAAAAATCCCCACACGTCTTATATATCCCCTGCACCAATCGACGCGTACGGGAGGATATGGATGGGTGGGTGAACGTAGAGAGAAACTCTGCGGCGAGGCAGCACTCGAGCTCTTCGTCTTAGCCCTGCTTCTCCAATCATCGGCTCTGCTCCACCGTGCTCTGCCGGTCGCCATCGAGGTAGAATTGGCGTCGCAACACCCGTCTCGCCGATGACCTCACTCGCCGGATCCCTCACGAAGCCGCCTCCCACGCCGGAGCATTGCTCGCCGCACGCAGCGCCCCCCGGTGCGGCCCTTGCTGCACCGCCAGTTCGTCATCGCCAGGCCTCACAGCATCAATGGCTCGCCCTGCTCGTACTAGCGACGTAATTCGGTAACTCTGACCCTAGCCGCCGGTTGCAACTTCTGTCGTCTCCAGTCATGACTTTCGGCGTTGTCGGCTGCAGCTTTCCCCAACATCGGACGTTGCTTTCGCCGGTTGGCAGTCGCCATTCGTAGTTTCTGTCGGGACTGGTCGAAACTTCCAGCGTTGCTGGTTTGTAGCATCTCCGTTGGGTCTCGTAGCGTCGCCGGGCATGGGCGTTGGTCGGCCTATGTAAATCGGGCCCGCGTGAATGCGCCTGGCTAGTGGGCCGATTTAAATCAATTAATTTTCACGCACAAGGCCAAGCCACGGAAATGGGCCTTCGGACGGACGGACAGAGAGTCCGCTCAAAAAAAAGAAAAACCACCAAGATGGTCTTGCGTGTTGAAAGAAGTAAAGGAGGTAAAGGAAGCATTATTCCAAATGTTTCCAAACAAAGCGCCGGGACCCGATGGGTTTCCAGCACAATATTTTCAGAAAAACTGGGGGGTGTGTGGTGATGAGGTGACCAAGATGGTCTTGTGTGTTCTGAATGGGGAAGACTCTTTGGAGGTAATAAATAGGACATTCATCGTATTGATTCCTAAGGTATCCAACCCAACCTCCCTTACTCAATTTCGACCCATAAGCTTATGCAATGTGATCTTCAAGATTATATCAAAAGTTTATGCTAATCGGTTGAAGAGGATTTTACCGGAGATTATTTCTCCTGAGCAGTCCGCGTTTGTCCCTGGAAGGCTCATTACGGATAATATTATTGCTGCATATGAGTGTTTGCATTTTATGAAGAGAAATAGGAGTAGGAACAATGCTTTTTGTGCTCTCAAAGTGGATATGATGAAGGCTTATGATCGTGTCGAATGGAACTACTTGCAAGCGGTAATGTTAAAGATGGGCTTCAACTCTCAATGGGTTGCAAGGGTTATGCAATGTGTCTCGACAGTTTCTTTCACAGTATTGTTAAATGGCAGTACATTACAAGAGTTCAAGCCCTCAAGAGGTATTCGTCAAGGTGATCCCATCTCACCATATCTTTTCTTGTTAGCGGTTGAGGGACTATCCTGCTTATTAAAGTACAATAGTATGAATGATCATATGAAGGGCGTGGTTGTTGCACCGGGTGCTCCTCCGGTAAACCATCTCCTTTTTGCGGATGATTGCCTTTTATTCTTCAAAGCCAATGAAGTAGGTGCCAACACAATAGTGAAATTGTCAAGAGGTATTGCGATGCGTCGGGACAGCGTGTCAATCTCTCTAAGTCAAGTATTTTTTTCAGCAAAGGGTGTCCAAACAGCAGGAGAGCTATGATCAAAGATAAGCTTGTTGTACCCAATGAATCCTTATCAGAGAGGTACTTGGGACTCCCTTCAGATTTTGGTAAATCTAAAAATGGCTCCTTTAAGTATATCAAGGATAGATTATGGGGCAAGGTTCGTGGATGGATGGAGAGGTGCATGGCTTCGGCCGGTAAGGAGATTCTAATCAAGTCTGTGGCTCAAGCCGTCCCTACGTTCTCCATTTCTTGTTTTCTCCTTCCAAGAGGTTTATGCCAACACATCGACACGATGCTGAGAAAATTTTTCTGGGGCTGCAAGAACGGTGAGCGGAAGGTAGCATGGGTTTCATGGGATGTTTTAACGATGCCAAAATACCAGGGTGGGCTTGGCTTCAGAGATACGGAACTTTTCAACCTTGCAATGTTAGCCAAGCAAGCCTGGAGGCTGACTCAAGATCCTGACTCTCTTAGTGCAAGGATCTTACGCTCGGTGTATTATGCTCATGGTGATGTGTTGCAAGCTGAACTGGGAAACCACCCATCGCAAGTTTGGAGGGCAGTGTGTGCGGGTGTCACAGTTTTGAAACAGGGGCTTATAAAACGTGTTGGTAACGGCCGGTCCATCAAGCTTTGGGAGGACAATTGGATCCCACGAGATTTCATGTTAAGGGCCCTTCACCCGAGGACTCCAAATCCTCCAATCCTGGTGTCTGACTTGATCGACAGACCAATGAAAGCTTGGAACCGTCAAAAGGTCTGGGAACATCTTCAACCTCCGGATGTTCAAGTTGTGCTAAATATCCCTTTAAGCTCGCGCGATCTGGATGATAGCTGGGCATGGCACTATAATAGGAGCGGACTTTTTACTGTTAGATCAGCTTACCGGTTGCTGGTTGATACAAAAAAGAGGAGGGAGGCATGGCTTGATGGACGTCCTTCACCGTCTAACACAAAAGAGGTGCAGCAAGAGTGGAAGAAGCTATGGAAGGTTAAGGTTCCTGGGAAAGTCAAAAATTTCGCGTGGCGACTTGCACAAAGTTCAATCCCTACAGAGGTAGTTCGTCATCGAAGGAATATGGCTGACTCTAACGTCTGTCAGATATGCAACAATGCTGACGATTCATGGCGTCATGCGTTAGTGGACTGCAACATGTCAAAGTGTGTTTGGGCTTTGTTAGATGAAGAGCTGGTTGAACATATCATTGCTTGTGGGCATGCTGATACGAGGCTGTGGTTGATGGAGCTCATGGAGTCAACAAGGGAGGAGGAGTTCATTCAGATCTTGGTTGCTCTATGGGCTATATGGTGGGCACGCAGAAAGGCAATACATGAATATATCTTTCTTTCACCTCTCACCACGTTTAATTTTATTCAGAGGATCCTTGGGGATCTCTCTTTAATTCCTCGAAGGGTGGCCGTCTTTGCAAGTTCTTCTGCTGCAGTTCAGCGACAAAGGCGAGTTTGGAGAGCCCCTACCCAGGGATGCATGAAGCTTAATGTCGACGCTGCAGTCAGCAGGAACCAAGACAAGGGGTCATGTGCTGTCATTTGTAGGGATGGTCAGGGGTCTTTTGTTGGAGCTTCTGTGTTGGTAACCCGGGATCTTGTCCAGCCAGAAAGTCTTGAAGCATTGGCCTTTAGCGAGGCTCTTAATCTGGCTTCTGACCTTCACCTGGGCAAAATCCATATTGCTACTGATTGTGCTGCAACTATAGCTCATCTTACGAGCGAGTACATGGGTCCAAACAGGGCAATTTTTCAAGACATAAAGATGATGATGGAAGAATTTGCACAAGTTCATTTTCAGCATGAGAAGAGAGAATATATCTGGGAGAAGCACGCCCTTGCAAAGGCGTCTTTTTCCCTATCTACAGGGCGCCATGTGTGGCTAGTAGACCCCCCTGATTTTATTTGTATGCCACATAATGTCTTGGTTGAATAATATGGGGTGACTTTTCTCAAAAAAAAAAAAACCGGACGAACAGAGGCCTCCTACTCGTCTTCCATTCCTCACGCCAGGCCACGCCGGCCATAATCATCCTCCATCTTGACCGCACCACCGCTGAGTGGATGACTAGTTCGAAGGAGAGGAAGGAGGTGAGCGTCGCCGGCGACCGGAGAGGGGGAGGGAGATGGATGCCGCACTCGGCAACGGCGCCGTGGGGGACTGGATGTGCGGCCGAGCCGGCTGCCACGCACCCACTCAGACTCAGGGCAAGGGCAAGGGCGGAGCGGGGCAGAATATATATACGTGAATGGCTTGCGACGCTGCTTAAGGTTAACTCTGATCTGAATTCACGCATTCCTTTCAGAAAACATGCGCAAGCATAAGTAGTGTTCTTCAGTACTTCTAGCAGTATATTTCCTACCGAGTCTGAATCTGTGATTTACCCCCTAATTTTTATTGGCAATTTGGCACTGCCATCATATTCTGGATGACCCGAGGCTCAATATGATTTACATTGCACAATTTGGTTTTGATAAAAATCTTGTAGTAAACAAATACATTACATGCATGCTACTCCCTCCATTCTCAAATATTTGTCTTTCTAGACATTTCAAATGGATACAGCATACGGATGTATGTAGACATATTTTAGAATGTAGATTAACTCATTTTGTTTCGTATGTAGTCATTTTTTGAAATCTCTAGAAAGACAAATATTTGGGAACGGAGGGAGTAGAAGGATCTTGTTTAGATATACGAGGCCAGGCCCATAAGCTGTGAATGTGAAAAAAGCTACCCTGAAACCTGGAAGGCAACTGTAACCCTTTAGCAAACCGTATGCTTGTCTTGAAAGCTTTGTTGTCCCTACACTGAAATGCAATCTGAAGTCTGTAGCATCGGCTAGTGGTTGGTTCTGCACCCAGAACTAAGACAGGTGTGCTGCTTTTTGGCCTCCATATCTAGTGCAAGAGCTTTGGCAGTCAAGTCCACAAAGTGTATGGAAGATAATATTATATATGCCCAAGATTAGTGCTTAATGGTGCAGTCGTGGTCCAAGTTCGGTCCTGATCAGTAGTGCGATGTCTTTTTGCAGAGACTTGAATGAACAAAATGTTGCTCAATAAGCTAACAATGCCATTAGCTAAACTTGTTGTCAAACCCAAGCATACGTTCCATGACCATGGACTAAGCTTTGTTTATAATCTTGGGGATAGTCAGTTATGAACACCACAAGGAGCAGAACAAATAAGCAGGCAGCAAGTTCTCAAATTACATCCGAGAACTCATGCGATAAGGTAAAACCCTTTCCTTGAAATCGTCTGCTTCAGTAGTGAGGAAATATTGCCTGCAAATTAATATTTCTACAGCAATGAAGAGATCATGCAATCAAATGAACCAACTGGATTAGACCATGCAAAGCTGAGAGCATTACTTATGATAAAAGAAAAATCCAGGAATCAGACCCTAAATAAACCCAACATGGAAGAGCATGTCATGATGAAGGAAACCATTTGGTCGATTCAGACCAAAAGGGAGGAAGATACATTAAACTACATTAAAATCAAAACATAATATGGTTCTTTGTTTAAATCTGTTCAAACCCAGCCACTCAATTATTATATGTGCTGAAACTTATAAGATGCTCAAACTGAAAAAAGGGCAACTCCAAAATCATGTGTATTTCTGCCCTTCTTGGCCTCCATATCAAGTGCAGGAGCTTCGGTAGTCAAGTCCACAAGGTGTTTGGACCCAAGATCAATATATTATCTATCCTCAAGATTAGTGCTTGGCCGTGAAATCATAGTCCATGTTTGGCCATCAGTGCATGTTGAGGTCATTCTCCAAAGAGGACTTGAACAAAATGTTCGTCAACAAGTCAATAGTGCCAATAGTAAAGTTGCTTTGCTGATCAAGCATTTCTCCTTGACCATGGACTAAACTGTGTTTACTAAGCTACTTTATAGCCTAGGGATGGCTAAACATAAATATATACCACAACAAGCAAGGAGAAGAAGAAATAGAGGCACGCATCCTGCTCCCAAACCTACAGCGTAGAATTCACATGATAATGTAAAAACATTGTTCTTCCAAATGGACTACTACTTGTCATGGAGATGTCTATTGCTGGTCCTCTGCACTCTGAACTCCATGTTTCGGAGTTGTTCGGGCTGCTTCTTGGAGCAGAGAGCGTCCCTCGTTGATATTAGCTCTGGCCTCATAATCTTTGGGCATGACTATGAGAATCAGATGCACAGTTCTTGGGGAGTCGGTGATGACTGCTGTTCGTGGAAAGGGATCACATGTGACAATAGCACAGGGCTAATATCGCATCTTGACCTTTCCCCAATCGACCAAGATATGGACCATATGGAAGAAATGGAAGGTGAATGCATCTGGCACCTTAGCTTGACGATCTTTTCTTTATTTCCAGAGCTTCAGCTACTAAATATCTCAGGATTGTTCGCTTGTTTACATAATTTTGAGGGTATGTAACTCATGTTGCATCCATGAAACTCCACTTTTATTCTTCCAATAATTTTGATTACGAATCATCATTCTGAAGCAAATGATTCATCAGGTCTCCAAGGATTGAGTAAGCTCAAGTATCTCGACCTCAGTTTCAATAGTTTACTAGGGGGCATCCCCGGATCTGTTGGTAAGCTGGTTTCTCTAGAAGTCATAAATCTCAATGGAAACGTCATGGGTGGGACTCTTCATAGTACAGGTACTGAAACAAATAAATTTAACATTCTCTTTCAGTTGGTACAATTACTTTTTACTTGCTATAAGTCATGTATTCATCTCAGGTCTGAGAAATCTCCATAACCTGCGTGAATTGCATTTGGGATCCAATGAATTGAGTGGTAGCCTCCCAGCATCCTTATTTGCACTCCCACGCCTTGTTTACTTGGATCTTTCAGACAACCACTTGCAAGGGCATATACCTATAAACTCATCTTGGAACCTGCGAGGATTGCGTTTGAGATCCAATAAATTGAGTGGTAGCATCCCAGCATCCTTATTTGCACTTCCAAGCCTTGAGTACTTGGATCTTTCAGACAACCTCTTGCAAGGAAATATACCTATAAACTCATCTTGGAACCCGCGAGAATTGCGTTTGAGATCCAATAAATTTAGTGGTAGCATCCCAGCATCCTTATTTGCACCTCCACACCTTGAGTACTTGGATCTTTCAGACAACCTATTGCAAGGATATATACCTATAAACTCATCTTGGAACCTGCGAGAATTGCGTCTGAGATCCAATAAATTGAGTGGTAGCATCCCAGCATCAGTGTTTGCACTTCCATGCCTAGAGTACTTGGATCTTTCAAGAAACCTCTTGGAAAGATATGTACCCATAAAATCATCTTCAAAGTGTTCCTCATTGCTTCAAACTATCAGGTTATCCAAAAACAAGCTAAGCGGTAAATTTGATTTTTTCTGGTTAAGAAACTGTGTGAAGCTCAAACAGATAGATCTGTCCCGGAATACTGATTTGGTCGTTCAAGTGAAACTGCATGGTTGGGTACCAAAATTTCAATTGAATACACTAAGGCTCTCTTGGTGTAACCTTGATAAGAGCATGATTACTGAGCCAAATTTCCTCCGCACACAGCATCATCTACTTTTTCTTGATTTGTCCAACAATAATTTGCCGGGAAACATGCCTGACTGGTTGTTCACAAATGAAGCCACACTGGTTTACCTGAATCTTGCAAACAACTCACTAGTTGGATCGCTAGATCGGGTATGGCAACACCAAACTTACCTTAAACAAGTTAACATATCTCTGAACCTAGTTGAAGGACAGCTGCCAGCCAACATCGGTTTGATGTTTCCTAATCTTACAATTCTTGATGTTTCCCACAATATTATATCTGGAACAATACCACCATCGCTCTGCAACAGCAGCATACAACTTATGGACCTATCAAATAACAGATTTACAGGAGAAGTACCATCCTGCTTGTTCACTGATTTTTACGCACTGAATGTATTGAAGCTCTCAAACAATAGTCTCGGGGGTAAGATACTTGACGGGGTTAGTAGCTTCTCTGGTCACCTGTGGGCCATATACCTCGACAACAACAAATTTGAAGGAACTCTCCCTAGAAATCTGTCTGGTGATATAGCCCTCATGGATTTACATGGTAACAAGATGTCAGGAGAACTGAACACTTCATTATGGTTTCTTCCTTCACTGGAAGCTTTGAGCCTTTCTTGTAATGGTTTAACTGGTGCCATTCATCCAGGAATTTGCACATTAACAAAACTTCGGATATTAGATCTGTCAGAAAACTACTTTATGGGGCATATTCCAAACTGCAGCACTGTATTACCTCTCGAGTTTCTGAGTGTATCCGGGAATTCGCTGTCAGGCTTCCCGAGTGCATTTTTCTTCAGCTCGTACATTACAGCTCTGGATCTCAGCCATAATCAGTTCACAGGCAACCTTGAGTGGGCACAATATCTTTCTCAAATCAGTGTACTTTTGTTAAGCAGGAACAAGTTTGTGGGACAGATCTCTTCAAATATGTGTCGTCTCCAACGCTTGAGTATAATTGACATCTCCCACAACATGCTTTCGGGTTCCATACCACCATGTATTGGTGGCATTGCACTTGAAGACCCTGATGATTACGAGTACGGTTGGCCCTCAATTGGGATAACTTACTCTACAGGAGATTATGCCGTGGGCATGTACAGCAGTGATTATGAACCCCAAGGCTTCACCTTCACAACTAAAGGGAACTCATACACATACGGAAGTAACTTTTTCATGTTGATGTCTGGCATTGACTTCTCTGCTAACATGCTGTCAGGTGACATTCCGAAGGAGATGGGGAATTTGACCCATATCTTTTTTTTTTTTTGGAATTTGAGCCATATCAAGTCTCTCAATTTGTCAAACAATTTCTTGACTGGAGCGATTCCTACAACCTTCGGTAACATGAGTGAAATCGAAAGCTTAGACCTTTCAGGAAACAAGCTGGATGGAACCATACCATGGCAGTTAGCTCGGTTGTCATCATTGGAGGTGTTCTCTGTGGCGTACAATAGCTTATCTGGATGTCTACCAGCCACCGGTCAGCTCAGCACATTTGATGTGGACAGTTACAGAGGGAACGACAACCTTAGGTCATGCACTGCCAGTTCAGATCCCGTTGCACGGAATGGCACAGGAGGAAATGCACCTGGTGATTCTGATCCGATCATCTACATGGTCACTGTTGTTTCATTTGTCTTGGCATTTTGGGCCACTATCACATTCGTATTCTGCCATCCATTTGGGCAGCGTGTTATTCTCAAACTGTAATAAGTAAAAAGAGAGAGACTGGTGATTAATAATGATGATGTGTACACAACATAAGCAGATCACTTTAGTAATCTGCTTTTCCTATTATGTGTGTATTTGTAAACTATGCTAGCTTTTGTTGCATTAAAAAAGCTGTTCCCCAACTCCCAACACGAGTATTCTGATCGAAAACACTAACGCCCACACGTGTGGGTGTACTTCAACTTGCCCACACGTCTGGATGGTCGTTGTTTGTCTTTTGCACGAATCTTGACACGAAAAGGTGGATTTGGTGTGCCACGTAGGACGGGGCTGGTGCGTGGGCGTTGGAGAGTTTGCCCACACGCCTCGTATAACGTTGTTGCCAGCTATGCTGTGTGGGCGAATTAGTTTCTGCCCACACAGCCACCACCTAGTCCATGCGCGTGTGGGCGAACTGATTTTCGCCCACACGACACTCCTACGTTGTGGATGACAACTGCAGTTACGCGAACATGGCAACTAGGTAAACAAACATGGCAACTGTGATTCTTTTGCTAGACGGCAACTGCAGTTGCGCGTATCTGGCAACCAGATAAACACACATGGCAACTACGATTAACTGTACATGGCAACTATGGTTGGACCACACGTGGCAACTAGGTAAACACACATGGCAACTGCTGTTTGACCATGTGCGGCAAGTAGTTAATCACACACGGCAACTACGGTTTGATTACACGCGGCAACTACCATAAATTAGACATGACAACTATAGTTAATCAAAACAGATAGAGTTGCCATGCTTTTACAACAACACTTGCCATCCCGGATAACTACATCTGCCAACCAGAATGGCAACTAAATCATCATCCCGCGGATACCTAATGTGGCTGCGCTAGGACGTGTAGGCATTTTTGCTTCGTGCCACACGCGCGGGATGAAGATGAGTAGTACTTGTGGGCGTGTGGCACGAAGTAGCCACGCCCACACGTGTGGGCAATTCTAATGTTCGCCCACACATAACCCGTGTGGGCTGTCTCCTGCTCACACCACACATGATGTGTGGCCAGACCCTATAACGCCCATACGTGTGGGCGTTATCGGCGTCCATTCTGATTTGTCATGCTTTACTAAGGCGAGTAATAAATTCTTTGGAAGACCATTGGTTTGGGAGGTAAGATGCCTCCTGCCTTGATCATGGAGGGGTGGATGTTTTTACTGCTTTTCTGTAAGCTTGATCAAGGTGCAAAATGGTGGTGTGAAGTTGACATTTTGGGAGGACCATTGGTTCTGCATAGCCCTTTCTTTGGCGCTTTTTTAACTGAATTTTCATTAGCACTGCTCAAGTCTCATTATGTTTTTAGTGCTAGAAATGTTCCTGTCCGTTAGGATATTGGATGATATGTGCTGACGTGTTAATCTACAAGATTGGGCACTATATACTACATAGTCCCCTTTGTGAATTCTTGATTGAGGTCTTCTTCCTCTGCCTCTCCTTTACTTTGTTTCTTCCTCTTGGAATAACAAGGCCACTCTTGTGTCTAAACCTGGGCATCACTTGGGCCGGCCAGATTTCGGGCCAACCTTACAAAAAGCCTGAGGAAGAAATCACAAGCCCAAGCCAACATTTGATTCACATTTCATCCATAAAGCTACCTGTCAAAATCACTAGTTGAGGAGTACTCGTTACAATGATCATTCCCACCTCTCCAGGCTGCGAAAAGTGGCGCGCTGCATGTGCGCCATTTGTCGCAACCTGGGAGTTTTCTCTTTTTTCCAGGTCTGTTTATTCAAAATATTTTATCTCTTAAACCATGCGTCCAAATCTTAAACCGTTTTCACCGTTGGATTCCTCGCACCGAGATCTTCAAAACTAGATCCCATGTTGATAGGTTTTGACGAACTTTTTTCACCAAAAAAACCAGACGAAAAAAACCAGGCGAAAAACCAAACCAGGAGCAAGGGTTTTTTTCCCTATCCGAAAGAGGCACACCGTGCCTTTTGCAAAAACACAAGCGTGTCTCTCGCGGAAGAAAAAAAATAGAAAACATGTTTTTTCCCGTTTCCGGCAGGCACGGCCGTGACTCTCGCGACAGCAAAACTGTACCTCTCGCGGCAACCAAACCGTGCCTCTCGCGGAAGAAAAAAAGCAAAAAACACATTTTTTTTCTCTTTCAGAAAGGCACGGCCGTGACTCTCGTGAAAGCACAACCGTGCCTTTCCCGGAAGCAAAACCGTGCCTCTAGCGAAAGGAAAAAAAATACAAAACATATTTTTTTTCCGTTTTTGAGAGGCACGATCATGACTCTCGCGAAAGCACAACCGTGCCTCTCGCGGAAGCAAAACCTTGCCTCTCGCGGAAGAAAAAAAAATAGAAAACGCGTTTTTTTACGTTTCCGAAAGGCACGGCCGCGACTTTCGCGAAAGCACAACCATGCCTCTCGCGGAAAGAAAAAAATAGGAAACATGTTTTTTTTCGTTTCTGACAGGCACGACTGTGACTCTCGCGAGAGCACAACCGTGCCTTTCTCGAAGCAAAATCGTGGCTCTCTTGAAAGAAAAAAAAACGCATTTTTTCATGAAAGAAAAATTCAAAAATATTTTGACCTAAAAGCTAAGTAAGACCGGTGAAAAACCAAAATGCCGAAAAAACCCGGAAACAACCCGTTTGAAAAGCCGAAAACGTGTGCGGAAAAATGAAAAAACAAAATTCGGAGGGAGAGCCCAGAGCGCGACACGTGGCGGGCGACTGAGAACGCGCCAAGTGGCGCTGATCGTTGCAAGGCTACCGAAGAAGCGCTCATTAACTAGTTGCTCTCGCTACATGTGACTTTGTCTAAAAAAAAGCTACCTGTGACTGTGAGATAGACATTGCTCCCTATTTGTGAGGGAGCAATGCACTAGAGTGAATAGTTAAACATATCTTTCACATCCGTCACTTTTGGTGACACATGTGCTTGTGTTTTCAAGAAAGTAAGCGAGAGTGTAGTAATATTCCTAATAATTTATGCGGGAGTGTAATAAGACTTCACTGAAAAATAGTTTTTTTATAGACTTGGGCTAGGGAGCATATGTATTAGGCATAATAATCAATGAAGATAAGAGTGCCTAATAGGCCAAGCCAAAATACACGTTCGCTTGGCCCAAGGTGAACATGTGCTTCAAAGCACAATCTTCAAATCTTCGTGATGCCAAACAAAAATTGCTCCAAAAAAATGGTTGCTATGGCCACCGTCCTCCTTGTTCAAGGAGGTTGGAGCTTATTGGTTCTTATTGGATTGTCTATATTGAGGGTGGAGACGAACTCAGGTTCACCGCATCCCGGTACCTTCTTCACTACCAAGAGCATCGATAGAAGTCCGCTACCCATCTCTGGGAATTTAAGAACTGAAGCGGTCAGCACAGTTTTGCGAGACAAGGAGGAAGCAGAAAAACACAATTAGGACACAAATTTGGACGAAGAGAAGAGGGAAGATCCCGACAAGTAAAGGGCGAATGTCTGGCGGGAGTGTTTAGTGGTTCCCATAACGAATGAGCGGTCAGCGGTACATAAAAGTCACCCTACAAGTAAAAATAGTTTTAAAAAACAAGTCACGGACACGTTAGGGGTCACATGTACGTGTACTACTCCAAGCAACAACCTTTATTCAACTTCTAGTGGTAATAATGCAATATGCATAGGATAGTGCAAACATATATGGCATGCTAGTACTAGTACCCAATGCTGATACACAACGACAGAGCTATTGGTTCTTATTGGATTGTCTATATTGAGGGTGGAGACGAACTCAGGTTCACCGCATCCCGGTACCTTCTTCACTACCAAGAGCATCGATAGAAGTCCGCTACCCATCTCTGGGAATTTAAGAACTGAAGCGGTCAGCACAGTTTTGCGAGACAAGGAGGAAACAGAAAAACACAATTAGGACACAAATTTGGACGAAGAGAAGAGGGAAGATCCCGACAAGTAAAGGGCGAATGTCTGGCGGGAGTGTTTAGTGGTTCCCATAACGAATGAGCGGTCAGCGGTACATAAAAGTCACCCTACAAGTAAAAATTGTTTTAAAAAACAAGTCACGGACATGTTAGGGGTCACATGTACGTGTACTACTCCAAGCAACAACCTTTATTCAACTTCTAGTGGTAATAATGCAATATGCATAGGGTAGTGCAAACATATATGGCATGCTAGTACTAGTACCCAATGCTGATACACAACGACAGAGCTATTGATTCTTATTGGATTGTCTATATTGAGGGTGGAGACGAACTCAGGTTCACCGCATCCTGGTACCTTCTTCACTACCAAGAGCATCGATAGAAGTCCGCTACCCATCTCTGGGAATTTAAGAACTGAAGCGGTCAGCACAATTTTGCGAGACAAGGAGGAAGCTGAAAAACACAATTAGGACACGAATTTGGACGAAGAGAAGAGGGAAGATCCCGACAAGTAAAGGGCGAATGTCTGGCGGGAGTGTTTAGTGGTTCCCATAATGAATGAGCGGTCAGCGGTACATAAAAAGTCACCCTACAAGTAAAAAATGTTTTAAAAAACAAGTCACGGACACGTTAGGGGTCACATGTACATGTACTACTCCAAGCAACAACCTTTATTCAACTTCTAGTGGTAATAATGCAATATGCATAGGGTAGTGCAAACATATATGGCATGCTAGTACTAGTACCCAATGCTGATACACAACGACAGAGCTATTGGTTCTTATTGGATTGTCTATATTGAGGGTGGAGACGAACTCAGGTTCACCGCATCCCGGTACCTTCTTCACTACCAAGAGCATTGATAGAAGTCCGCTACCCATCTCTGGGAATTTAAGAACTGAAGCGGTCAGCACAGTTTTGCGAGACAAGGAGGAAGCAGAAAAACACAATTAGGACACAAATTTGGACGAAGAGAAGAGGGAAGATCCCGACAAGTAAAGGGCGAATGTCTGGCGGGAGTGTTTAGTGGTTCCCATAACGAATGAGCGGTCAGCGGTACATAAAAGTCACCCTACAAGTAAAATTGTTTTAAAAAACAA